GGGGGGCAGCACTCACAAGTGGCTCCCTCCCCCATCCCCAGCATCCCTGCCATGCTGCAGAGTCTCAGTGAAGGCCCAGCAACTCTGCCTGCTGCCTCAGGGCTCCCCCTCCCCGCCCGCACTAACCCTGCCTGAACTGGGAGCCGTAGCGGGTGGCACCAGAGCTGTCTGGCATTACCTCTGGCAGGGATCATAGAATCAGAGAATCAACTTCCCGAAGGGAGGATCCACAGAGGACGGAGAGAGGCTGTTCTCAGTAGTGACGGGTGGCAGAACAAGGAGTAATGGTCTCAAGTTACAGGTCTAGGTTGGATGTTAGGAAAAACTATTTCCCTAGGAGGGTGGGGAAGCACTGGGCTGGGTTCCCTAGGGAGGGGGTGGAATCTCCATCCCTAGAGGTGTTTAAGTCTCGGCTTGACAAAGCCCTGGCCGGGTTGATTTAGTTGGGATTGGTCCTGCCTTGGGCAGGGGGCTGGAGTCTCTTCCAGTTCTATAGTTCTATGATTCTAATCACAGAATCCCAGGGCTAGAAGAGACCTCAGGAATCATCGAGTCCAGACCCCTACCCGAAGCAGGAGCAATGCACAAAGCAGGACAGGGCAGGGAGCCACAGGTGGGTGGCAAGCCCCCCAGTCATCATTCATCCCTGGATGGTGCATCCCTTTCCAAACAGCGTGTAGTTTTCCCCGTGAGAAACCTTCCTGCCATGTTGCAGAGAAGTCCGTTTGCAGTTTTCCACTCGAGAAGGATCTTTTTGGTTTGCTCACAAGCCCACTTATTTTGTTCACTCAGGGTATGTCTACACTGCAAAGTTAATGCAAAATAATAGCTGTTATTTCAAATTAACTTCAATAGCGTCTACACAGCCAAACCACCAGGGCTCGCCGAACCGTTGCAGCGCTGTCCAGCGATCTGCACATGCGCAGATCATTCTGTGCATGCGCAGATCACCTGAACCCGGCTCTTCCAGGTTGCAATCTACTCGTCACGGGCAAGTAGATTGCATTATTTGTTGAGCCCTGCAAACCGCTATTTTGAAATACATTCGAAATAGTGGAGCATTTATTTCGAATTTGGTAAACCTCATTCTACGAGGAATAACACCAAATTCGAAATAGCTAATTTGAAATAAGCGCTGTGTAGA